TGAAATATTGACTGGAGTTGAAATTACTTTATCAAGTAAAAAAGAGAGAGAAAGAGAGAATTCAGACTGAAAGGCAGACGTGAAATTATAGTAGCACAATGTATCAAATTGTGCTACTATAATGAGTCAAATATAGTGGCAGTTTAATGATTATTATAGAAAAATTGCAGAATAAAGTATTCTAGATTATTAAGTAATATAATAGGTAAATTAGTAGTTAAATAGTTAAAGTATGAACATATACTGCCGTTCAAAAGTTTGTGGTCAGTAAGGGTTAAAAAGAACACTATTTAGAAAGGACACATTAAATTGATCAAAACTGAGAGTAAATCCATGCATAATGCTACAAAAGATTTCTATTTCAAATAAATTCTGTAAATAAATCCTGAACTTTCTATTCATCAAATAATATTTTTAAGTAATGTATCACAGTTAACAAATTAACCAGCTCAACTGTTTTCAACATTGATAATAAGAAATGTTTCCTGAGCAGCAATTCAGCATATTATAATAATTTCCGAAAGACCATGTGACACTGAAGACTGGAGTAATGATGCTGAAAATTCAGCTTTGCATCACAGGAAAAAAACACGTCACAGGAATATTACATATTAAAATATATTCAAAAAGAAAATAGTTATTTTAGACTGTAATAATATTTCACAGTATTACTGTTTTTATTGTATTTTTAAACAAATAAATGCAGCCTTGGTGAGCATGAGCGACTTTTTTTCAAACCAAATCTTACTGACCCTGAAATGTTTGAATAGTAGTGTATAAAGAAATAATTTAAGACTTGTTTGAGTTTCAGTAGAGGTCAAGGAATTCACTAAGGGGGGTGTGTCACCTGTGTTTTGTGAGAACTTGAGAAGAGCAGTAACACAAGTAGGTATTTCACATCTTACTTAATCAGTTGAACACTTTTGCTCAGGTGTCTTTTTACCTCACACATTCCTATTCTTTGCAGAAAAACCACTTTGTTGGGAAAGCCAGTCATTTTGTGATGCCCCGGGGCACATGAAGGGTCAGGGAGTTAGTTAGGTGCCGTTCTCCCAGCAGTGGTTTCAGTGGAAACCGGGAGCCTCCCATTTGTGGTACAGACCTCTTGCCATTTAGCCACCCGCCTCCAATAAAGAAAAGCAAGCGGCCGGCAAACTTCAGCGCTTGCCTCGGGCAGCTGGACGTGTTATTGATCGGGTGGGGGGAGGCTCTTTCCCTCCTCTCCTTCTGATGGAGGCCGGACTTTGGTCTGAGCTGCATTCCTGGGTTCTGTTCAGCTCGGAGGCAGAAGGGAGGGAGGATGTGGAGGGGAGGAGGGACCCAGGGGCTGGAAATCACTTGTCATGTGCGTATAAAAGTGTGCCTTTCGTTTCAGAGCATGCTCACTGAGGCACGCTCGGCTCCCACCAAATCCAGCCCCCAAATTTGAACTGGAGGGAGGGGAAGTTACGGCGCTGACTCTTGTGTTGTTGTACTCTGTCTGTTTGGCTCCCACCCTGCGTGGCTCCTTCTGCACCTCTGGCTCTACGGTTGATAAGGTGAACGCGGATTACTCTGGACGGCATTGACAGAAATCCATGTGAGATTAGTGCGTGCTCTTTTTCTGAGTTGTGGTGTTTTTTGCCCCTGTACAGTTTATCTGTTAAGCCAGGAAAAACTTCATCAGAAATATAAGCAGCAGTTGAGATAAAAATCTGAAAAAGAATGAGGTCAAAGAAACTTTGAAGTGTTGTTGAGCTTAAATGGAAAGAATTGGCTTGTTTGCTTCAGGTCAGCAATCAGTGAAGTATAAGAAAAGGTCAGGAGTGATGTTTGCCTTCTGTTTACGTGCTAGCAAAATGGGGTTAGGAGGCTTGGACTTGTGTAATGATGTGGGAAGACACGTGGATACATTCTGAGAACTCCTGCATTGACACAGGGCTCAGAGTTTAGCTAAATCCTCGAGAAGCATCTTATCACCGCTTCATGTGTGGCTGCTCTGATTCAGAGTGAATATCTGTCTGAGATGTGACGGGAGGGCGGAAGAGATTTGTCTCTACTGTGGCCACGTGGGTATGATAAAAGAGGGCAGATTTCATAAAGTGCTGTGCTGTTCACGTGGTTGTTTTTCTGAATTCTTTCAGCATCTCTTTCTGTGGTCGTGTGAAGTTGTATGCTGTTGTGCCCAACAAGCTGTTGACAGAGATTTTGGGGATTCTTACCACTAACATATTATTGTGTTTTTTAAGAATCTGTGCTCTCATTGTCTTTACACATTATTTTGTGAAGGTGTGAATGGTTAAAATGTTTTGTAGAATGTGGAACACTAATGTACTTGTCACCTGCTGCATCTAAAGTAATGAAACAAGGCAGCAGTACTATTATAAGCAGTAACATATCCAACTCTAATGGGGAATTTTCTGTCATGCTTTATGAGCTCATTAATGTAACCTTGTAGTGCAGAGATATTTTAATTTGACTTTATTTAACTGCATGTTTCAATAGTCTAATCTTAGTTAATGTATCCTCCAACCTGGATGTGTTATTTTGAAGTGTCAGACTAAGAAGATGTCATTTTCAAGCCCCCCCAGCTAAGACAATATATGAAGAGTTTGGTTCCAAAACGCTATAAATCCATTTTGATTAATTTGAGTAAAAATGTGTTTTCTTTACCAAGAAAGTGGCTAGATGAAAACCACTATTTTCTGTTTCAAACTTTCACATAGCATCTTTAGGTTATAATAACATAAAAAATTCAAATCCAGATTTTGATTTTCAAATATTTATTATAAAATTTAATTTTTTCCCCAAAATGCAATACATCCATTGAATCAATTTAAAAGTTATTTTTCATATTGAAACTGTTGATCCACATATGACAGCCTCTGAACTTGGTCAATACTAATCTTATATGCAGGCACTGGACTAAAAATACATTCAATCAGTCATCGCTCCCAAAATGAATTCAACGGGTCATCTTGTTAATACAGTCTGTAAGTACGTTTTTTCATATTTAAAGAATTTCCCACTGATGATTCAAACACAAGTTTTGAGCAGTGTAAAGTAGCGCTTGTTGTTTGTCTTTTCTCCGATCACAAATGCAGACATGGGCTCTACAGTGCGACATATATGTATAAATTTACCACTGTAGCACGCGTGCGATACAGTTTTGCATGTTCATAACACAGCCGCTTAATAGTGTGAAGTGATTTCGTTGTGCTTGTTTGTGTGTGTGAGATTGATTATACTTGGTAGTTAGGGGTGTGCGATATGACGATTTTTGAATGTCTCCACGATCTGCTTTTGAAGAAATGTCGTTGTATCGTGCTACAGCGCAGTCATTCTTGAGACATGGACAAAACAGGTCCAGCAAGGGTAACTGCTATTAGGTTTAAAAATAAAAATATTTTCAATTTTAAATGTCATGAGGGATTAATAATAGAATGTATTTAACACAATTATCACCTTCAATTTAATTTTCTCATTATTATACCAAATCTGTGTTTCTTAATGTCCTCTCACTACATCTAAAACAGTGTGTCCACAGAGAAGGGTTCAATCATTCATATGCAATAAAATCAATTTAAAAAAAATTTTTAATGATGAAAAAGAGCTTGTTTTATCAAAAGCAACACTTAATAATATCTCCTATCAAAGCAAGGTTGTTTTTTAATGACACATGCATGTTTCATAAGATTTTAAAGTTGCGTCCCCACTTTTTGTCAACACCGTCAGACATTCAATAAAATGTAATAAAATCAGGGAATATCAGGGGCAGCTGTCACTCTAAAGGACCCCCTTGCCACAGTTCACCTCTGCAGAGTACAACAGTGTCAACAGGCTCTGCTAAGTTTTATAGTTTTAGAATATTTTAAATCCTAATGTTAATATTTCCTTTGTCACAGCCATGATATGTCAACACCATCTTCCAATTTCTGAGGAAATTATTTGAAATATTTAGATAATATTTAGATAATTTTATTCTTCTGAAGCAGGTTCCATTAGCATCTAGCATCAACAGAAAAAAATAAAATGGCTACTACATGAACTCCATTGGTTTTGTGAAAGAAATGCCAAATTTGTCAACACCGTCATATGTCACCACCATAAGATTTTGTGTTCCAATGATATATCAAAATACTTCAATGTGACTCTTGAATAAAGGCTTTATAAACAATAACATACTCGCTGTTTGTTTTAATACAGTAATTGACTGATTCAATGTATTTGATAGTTAAAATGACTACAAATTCAGGTTTTCGTCACCTCCGTCAGATGTGTCAACTCCGTCAGTTCTGTCACCTCCGTCAGTTGAATATTTTGATAATATTTCATTATGATATTTTATATTTGTTGTGGAATTGTTGGTCACATGTGAAAGTGTAATCTGTCTGCTAACACGAGAATGTGTTTTGAAATGTTAAAAACATCTTGAATGCTGTTAAAGATAAAGTTGAAATTATATTACACAGTCCAAGGTAAAAAAAAGCACATTTTGTTAAAAAAGAGAAAAGTTGGGAGGTTGTATCAAAGCATAGCTCAGTAGATATAAGATACATAAATGTAGTTTCATTTGTCTGAGTACAAGGTTTTATTTTTTCAATTTTGCACCCTGTTTTGTCCCACTTCTCAAGAATGACTGAGTTATTATATATTTTACATTTATTTTCAACAGCCATTAGAAAAGTCATTTTAAATTGTAATAATATTTCACAATATTACAGTTGTTACTGTATTTTGAATCACATAAATGCAGTCTTGGTGAGCACAAGAGTTCATATAACATAATATAACATATAATAATGTTCATATAACATTTCAAAACATTAAGTCTCTTATGCTCATCAAGCTCATGCTCAAAAATGCAATAAAAACAGTAATAGTGTGAAATATTATTGCAATTTAAAATAGCTGTTTTCTGTTTTGTTATGTTTTAATGTGTTAATATGTTTTTAAAATGACTTCTTAAAAAATCATTAAAGATGTGCTGTTTTTCTTTAGCATTGCAGCACATGGGTGAGGGGGGGGGATGACGCTATACGTGAGGCACTTTATCATCTTCGAGACCTCATGGATTATGCACATCTCCTCACATTTGTAAGTACAATGCTTTATAAACATTCATGACATCTTATTTTTACATTTACACTATAAATAATCATTATTTTCTGCATCTTTTAAAGAACATAAACGTGATATACATACCGAATGTGCATATTGAAAGCGGGGAGGTGAGTTTTGGGAAAAATGTGAAATTTGTGTGTTTGAGATGCCATATATCTGAGCAAGACTGGGCCTGTTTTCTTCAGATGTGCAGCTGTAAAGAGTTCATTGCTCAAGACCTTCTGAAGACGTTAGTTTCAGCAGAAATCACTGTTCAAGACACTG